TGTCCTGCCAGAGGCCAGTAACAAGCCGTCCCTATCTCGTGCCCTAAGAAATGCAGTTTCTCTTCCATGGGTATTAATAAATCAAATTGAAGTTTTGCTAGTACTTTCAACCTGCTGGACTTGCTTTCGATGCGTGAAGAGAGAGCAAGAGAAATAGGCTTTATTTGGTGGTGAATGTCCAAAATTTTCAGCAAAAATGGCTCCATTCACAGAGACCAAGGGAAAAGGTAATAAAATAGTCGAAATTTAAAGGTGTACATGAAATCCACACCTGTTATGGCCACAGGTTTGATTTCAACTTCTGAATTTCACTTTCTTCACATGTGAAGTAACGCACTAGGAATGGGAGTATAGAGCGCTGATATGTCGATGTACGGCAAGACATATGTCAGAAACTTCGGCGCAAGGTTCGGGAAGACTTTGCAGCCATTGTTTTAGAGTGAAGAGGATGAGCGACCTCACCATGAATGCGAGCAGCAAATTGCTTTATAATTTTAAAGTGTCGCTGTATTATAATATCAGCTAAAAACTATAGGAAACACCGGCAGCTGAAGAGAGCATTCGGAGGATACGTCTCAAAATGAACAGATCTTTTTAAGCAAGGCTGTGAAGGTAACTGGAGAGCAGTAAAGAATCAGAGGGAGAATGCAGGCATCTATAAATCACCAGATTAGGGCTTGTGGTGTGTAATATGAACGCAAACGGCGGATATAAGATAGAAAATTACGAATTTTAATAAAGGGCCTTTATTATGAGGAGTAAATGAAAGGTAAGATGCCAGAGTAACACCAGGGTACCGGAATCGGAAAACACACTGGACTGACTTCTGGTCGTTTAGTAGAACATTGCTGAATGGAGGAAGACAAATCAACCATAACTCAGTACTGCATGGCTTACTGTGGTTTGCGTCACCTGGTAAGTATTTGCATAAAGAAAAAGGCTTTTTGTTTTCTAAGCCAAGGTATGTGGAGGTTAAATAAATTTTTCGTTTGCGCAAAAGAGATTTCGAGTCTCAGCCGCACAAATCATTCTTAGTAAATTTTACTCCTGCAATTATGATAAAATTGTGGACTTTTGGAGGCGTTCCCAGTTACTCTATAGTCTCTGCAGACTGTATTTTAAAAGACGTCACAATGAAGTATGGTGTGAGGTCAGAATACTAAACGGGGTAGAGCTTCATGACCCATTTCGTTCAACTTCTGAAGCATCGTTTTTAGAGTTCACTAGGATTACACTTGAATTCGAAAAATTGCAGAGGATGACGCCGACCGACTACCGACAAAAAATGTTATGACAGCTACGAGGGGTTCAGTGGGCTCCCTGCATTGCCTGTGCTATTTAGTAGATAATTACGTAGGTCAAGATTTAAACCCGGTGAGCAACTTAAAGTGCTTAGGTAGAAATAATGTTTTGGATTCTATCGACCTTGAGCCATCGTGCTGATTCTCGTCGCACAGGATGAGCTTGTCGTCGCACGTCACAAGTCGATCAGGAACCAGATAGTTCTTATAACCCAAAAGTACAGCAGGTCACACCTCTGATCGACTACAGTCTCGAGCTTCCATAAAGTCTTACTGAACCCATTCCCCCGGCACCTTCCCCATCCTTCCAGGACTACGTGAGCAGCATACACACATAAGCTAGATTGACCGCCCCTCCACCTCCACTTGGGAGTGCCATAACGGTCTGACTCTCTGTCCGCCACTCCAAACAAAAAGACGCATACTGGACTGACTGCGCAGTCCAAATTATCCCACAACTTGGCAACCCTCCAAGCCACGGTTTTTAGCGCACCGTGATAGCTTCAAGCGCGTCACATTGTTTATAGTGGAGAAAGGGATGCGCTGAATGACG